TCAAGCACTATGACCTATTAGCATCATGAAAAAAGAAACATAAACATGCATGTAAATGCTTTCAACTAGGAATTCAGCAAAACTTTGTTTTTTGCCTTTAAGGGAACAGCTCTGACATTTGAATGATTTCAAGTGTGGATTTTTTTTTTCAACTCCTGTTGAATAATAATAATAATAACCTTTATTTGGCCAAGTATGTTACACACACAAGGAATTTGTTTCCGGTACAGAACCAAGGCAGCTATCTGCGGCACCAACACTGATGGCTCTAACCATCGGGGGCAACTTAGGGGTTCAGCGTCTTGCCCAAAGACACTTTGACATGTGGACTCCAGGCACTGTGATTCGACCCTCCAACCCTCTGGCTGGGAGACGACCGCTCTACCCACTGAACCACAAACGCCCCCAGTTGGCTGACCTGAGACTATGTAGCTAAGGGAAAGCCACACAAGGATCAAACAATCAATCCTGCCCTGACTTGAGTTACAGTATCAGTGACCACAGGTTGGAAGCTTGTAGAGACAATCTGCAGGGTGATCTGCACTCTAGATGTTCTTATCCATCAGGGAGGTGTCTGATCTGTTCCAAAATCATTCTACAGCATGAAAACTCCGAAGTTAGAAAAATATGGGATCAGAGGAATGGTTTTGAATTAGATTAGAAGTTATTTGACACAGAGGCGTCAGTTTGTGAAGTTGGGTGAATACCAATCGAGTGAGCTGGACATTGTATGTGGAGTTCCTCAGGGTTCTGTTTTGGGACCTAAATTATTTATACTATACATTAACGATATATGCAAGGTTTCTGATTTAGTGAAAGTGGTTTTGTTTGCTGATGATACTACCATATGGGCATCGGGTGAAAACCTACAGCAACTCTCTGGACGGGTTTCACAGGAACTTGAGAAGATAAAGAAATGGTGTGATAGTAATATACTATCTCTGAATTTGGATAAAACTAAATTTATGGTATTTGGGAATCGTAGACTAGACAATGAACTTCAATTGAAAATTGGGGGAGCTAATATAGAACGAGTATATGAAATTAAATTTCTAGGTGTCATAGTTGATGACAAATTCTCCTGGAAATCTCATATCAGATATGTTCAGCACAAAATAGCTAAAAACATATCAATATTGGCAAGGGTTAGATATATTTTGGACAGGAAAGCACTACGCATTTTGTATTCTTCATTGTTCTTACCATACTTAGAGTATGGCGTTGAAAACTGGGGAAATACATACAAAAGCTCACTTCAACCATTGTATATATTACAAAAAAGAGCGATAAGAATTGTGCATAAGATGGGATACAGGGAGCACACCAATGTAGCTTTCATACAGTCTAAATTGTTAAAAATTTTTGATTTAGTGGGATATAAGACTGCTGTGTTTATGTATAAAGCCAGGAACAATTTATTACCTGGTGGAATTCAAAAACTATTTAATGAAAGGGAAGGGGGATACAATTTAAGGGGTCAGTTAAATTTAAAAATTCATGCTATACGTACTACCAAAAAAAGATTTTGTATTTCCATAAGTGGGGTAAAACTATGGAATAATTTAAGTGTGGACATAAAAAATAGTAATAGAATTGACGAGTTTAAACATAAATATAAAGGTATGTGTCAATCAAGATGTATGCAAGAACAGGCTCAATGATTAATTAGATGGAACATTGTGGGTGTGGTGTATGAATGTTAACACTTTGTAATAATTCTTTAGTATATTACTTGTGTGGTGTAGAAGAGAATTATCTATGTAGAGATACTGCTTGCAAACCGATGATGGTAAGATGATGTCATGGGGTAGGACTGGATAAGTCTGACTTCTTCCTACTCCATTCAAGCATGTACTAGGTATAAGCAAATTGATATTGGATTATATGTACAATCATGTGTGTTGTCATATCAACTGTCAATTTAATTATCAACTGCTTGAAAAAATAAATCAAATCAAATCAAATCAAAACAAGCTCAAACATATGGTATGACTAGTCATTAAGTATCTGCAGAGACAAAAACAAGTCCTTCATTAAATGGTCTCTCCCCCACAGAGCCCTGGTCTCAGCTTCACGGAGACAGTCTAGGATCACATGAAGAGACAGCTTACATCCACAGAACTACTTCTCCAGTGCTGTTTTAAAGGCCAAGGGTGGTCAGAGTAAATATTGAATTGAATTAAATCCATCTTTTTCTGCTTCCTGGGTTTTGTATGATGTTAATAAAGCCCGAGCCATTTCTGTAAATTACACTGAAACCAACACACCCAGAGCCATGAAGCAACGTGTCCAAGAGAAAGTTATTACAGTATATCGTACCAGGTGTTATATCAAACTCCTTCTTCGTGCCATTTTACATTCCACCAGTCAGATGCTACAAATTTGAGATATTATCTTTGTAAGCTTGTAGCATGCTAAAGGCACTTTCAGCACAAAGATGCTGCCTGTTCTGCACGTATAGACCACGACAGTCAACAGCTCCATCTGGAGTCTCTGTGGAGGTAAACAAGTCTAACAAAAGCTAATCTACACAACTTTCCTAATGTCACTTAATCTTTTCTGAAGTAGGAAGTAAACAACATATAGCAAGAAGAAGCCCTACCACAACAACAGGCCACACGGTGAAGACAGATACATAAAGGCTTTTAAAGCTGACCTCCCTCAGGGTTTCTAAACAGCGCAGACAGAAGTGAGGACACCCAGGAGATTGAGGGTATCAGCCAAACATCCAGGTACAAAGACTGATTAATTGTTAGTGTATTCAGTCTATGAATATTCTTAAGATGGTTTCATCTTCTGATGTCAACACACAGCGTCAGCCACCAAGTCGCCACTTTGGACATCATGTCACACTCAACCCTCCTCCACACACACAACCTTCTGTCTCCTCTCGGTGATCAGCTGTGTATTGATTTGGTTTGGCTGAGAGCTCCCCTGGGCCCACGCACATAAGTCGCACACCTGCTGCCTTGAGACTTCTCCAGTCAATCCCCATCAGCGATTTGTCATCAGCCAGACAAAGTCGGTGACCGCCCGGCTCTGATATGATCTCAGTGCATGTGTCCATGGAAAGGAGGCCTGATATAAAAAGACAAGAAGAGCACGCAGATTGCTAAAGTAAGAGAGAGCGAGGAGAAAGAACAGGCTCTTTAGAGGAAAACAATTCATCTATTATTATTCATGTATTCCTGTGGAATCCAACAGCTTTCTGATCATCTTAAAAATATTTTAACATCTGTCAGATACAGGACTGAAATGAAAACAATAACAAAACCCTGTCAAATAAATGCAAAGTTAAACATTTTATTTCCAAACTTTTATATTAAAACAATGAAGCAAAATACTCTGATCTGTAGACACAGAACTATGCAGGCACTGCAGTAAATCCTACCGTATATTGTTCATGTACAACTACAATATGTGCATTAGTGATGACTCTTCTGTGAGCTATACAAGTCTCCCAGGTAGAGGCGTAGTACACAGCACAGCACAGTAATTTATAAGAATTTACTGCCAAATAACCCCTCAAGGGTTTAACTCTAAATAGAATATACCAGAAAGGTTTTTTTAACCGTAACTTTGATCAGGACAGCAACTTGGTTTCGACAGGCTTATGTCTTCCTGAATTACAGCTAGCTCGAGTACTTTTGTCTTCAGATTAGTTTAGATGAAACTAATCTATATGAGGGAATGACATCTCTGCAGCAAATGCAATAAGGTTGTAAACACATTAACATACTGTGAAATAAGCAATACAATACAAAGGACATTTAAGGTCTATTTAGAGACATAGAAAACGGGCAAACCTTCTTGACTGCGCTGTGTACGTCCCTGTGCAATGTCGACTGCATCACTCATCAGTCTTCAGACCTGTCAGACTTGTCACAGCTCCCTCTGGAGCCACAAAAGACTTCATACAACTTTTTTCACATATGCAGTAGTATTTCCTTATAGACTGACGTTAATGTGTCAATAAACCTACACCTGAGTGTGATTCAGTAGCTCTCCTCTGCTTACTTTAGTCCAGCTTAATACCTGAATGTTACATTTTCAGTAATGCCTTGGTTGGTCTACTTACAAGTTGAAATATTTTATAAAATAAAATGGATTTTATAGTTATGGATAAATGGGTTTATCTGTCAGAGAACTGATAATTTGGTTAGAAGCAGTGTGCAGCGCCATTGTCACTGTAACCTTGAAAATGAGACCTCTCATTGTCAGCATTGGAGGAAACACAGTGTAAATATCATTATCTTGGCGTCCTGTGTCACTACACACTACTGTCCCTGCAGGGCACGGCTAGACACATGTGTGTAACTGTGTTTACTTATATACTCACAAGTCTCATAAATCTGCCCATTTAGGCCAGTTAAGGACCAGTTAAATGGGGGCCATAAAGTATAGGATGCCATCAACTTCCCACTGTCTCTTCTTAACCCCTTTTGTCACTTTAGACTGGTGGAAAATGCAGAAATGGAGTAAATGTGCACACCGTGACAAGTACACATGACATACACACTCCACTCCTGTACCTTTTGCCTAGATTGGCCAAAAACAGACAGTTGGTCATCTGTTTTGTTTATGCAAGTGTGTATGTAGGCTGTGTGGCAGCCTGTTGTTAATGCTGCACCTGGATGACAACAGTGACACGAATGGCTAAAAGTAGGCAGTTTTCCTGGTAACTGCTATCAACTATCTCCCTCAGCATGCCATCTCATCCTCTCTCCGCTGTTCTCCCACTTCACCCAAATTTCCCTCCCTCTGTCTCAGGTGCCCCGTGTGGATTTCTTCCCAAGGTTGGGCCCCTCTCTCTGTCTAACACAGGGAACTGGTTAGAAAAATAGTATCACTTTATGATTTGCAGCCTATAAAAGTCTGTACTGCACAGAGAAAGAAAGAAAAACAGGACTACAATGCGAGCTTAACGACTCTAGTGCTTACAGAAATCCATGGGTGGGACTTTCACATCCAAAGGCGGGGTGACGTTTTCCACATAAATACTACTCAGTGTATTTCGAATCACTGACCCTGTGAGTGACTCCTCATCATCTTAGGAACGCATTTTCCCATGGATTTTCTACAGATCTGAACTGTGAGAAAATCCTGGAACGTAAAAGATAATATTAGTTGTTGCGTCTGTGGCTATGGGGAATTGAGCCTGTTGTCAGCAAGAAAATGTCCAGTTGGAGGTGGTTTCTTTTTCAAGCTATGTGGAGAAAAAGTAAGAGAGTTGATTTTGACCTCAGAGAAAGAGCACATTTCCAAAATCGCACGAATACACCGGGGGACGAGCATCACGGATAGCGGAGAGGATTAGGCACGCAGGAGCGCGCAGGAGCGCACAGGTAGGCTGAATCCCATCCGCAAAAGCGTGCAACCCATGTGTGTTTGAAAGCTAATTTAAACTCAGAAATATATGTCCATTTTTATTGGTTTATTTTATTTTAGTTTTCTCAACAGACGACATGAAATTCCTATGTTAATGAGCCTTCAAGTTTTATATGAACCACGCACGGAAACGTTTTAAATAACTAACGACCAGGGGGTATTGGCTGTTATACTTTGGTGCACAACAATGTCAAGCCCGATGCAGCCTGAAGGGGAAAGGGGCTTCAAGTGTTTGTTTTCTCAACAACAGGCTGCGGGCTGCGCGTCATTCCCGTGTTTTTTTGGAGCGCGGATCAGTGAATCTGCTCATCAAACCGTTTATTGGCGCAACAGTTTTCACAGCCTCGGGTTTCAACGTTTGACAGCTGACAGTTATAAAAATACTGATAATATTGTAGATTATCCACAAGGCACCAGGAGAACTACATAAAGGCCACTTTCACAGCTGCTGCATTAATTAATTAGATTGGAGCCATTGCTCTCATTCCAGGCTAAACATTAATGCAGGACATAATATATTCATGTCTGGTTTGGACATTTGTTTATTTTGGATATTCAGTTACAAGTAAAAGCCCTGCATTCGAGATGTTACTTTAGAAAAGTACAAGTATTAGCATCAATATATAGTACCTAAAATATGCATAATGGCACATTTAACATTAATGTGTTTTATATTATTGGATTAAAATTTGTGATGCATTTTTGTTCACATCACATTTAACGTTGCAGCTGGTGAAGGTGGAGCTATATACTTACAATGTGAAGTACTGTTGGGGGCCCTGAGAACTGCTTACTGGAATTTAACAGAAGCTGCTCCATAGGATTCTGCTCCAACTTTACACCACTCTTGCACCCAGTTTTGGAGACAAGCGAATCACCTCCTGATGCGATTGGAATTTCAGCTCAACATGCTGAAATACTGTCTGATAATATATTGTTAAACCTCAATGGGGAGTTAATATCCCATTTGTATACAGCAGGGAGATACAGAATCTTTAACTTCTACTAAATGTGTGTATCCCCAAATCCTACTTCAACCGAGTTCATGTTAGCATTGCATACTTATAGCTGTAGCACTTCAGGGTTTGTGGGCTACTGTGAGTTTTTGATCTGTCCCTGACCCTCTGTTACGGACATCTAATCCAAACCTGAATTACTAGCTTAACTGTTGTCATCTTCTCATATGTAACCCTTCTTAAGCAAAATTGCATGTTAGCCACTTGCCCAGACAATTCAGTGGAAAGTTTCTCTTATCCTCTAGTAAATAGGGGCCTTTTACCCAGAGATCACCTGTATGTTGTGGCATACGGTGCAGAAGGTAAACATAACATGAATTCTCTCAAACAGAAATGCAGAGAATCTTCGAACACTCACAACATGAAACATTGGTTTAGCATAGATTTTTATGTACTGCATAGAATAACTGTATTTGTGTCTGTCTCTTCTCTCACGAGATATTTATCCAAATGGATAATAGCACTCTCTCCTTCAACATGGATGGCTACAACTGGACATCGATATCTGAGAATGTCAGCGTGTCTTCCTTCCAGCCCCACCCAACCAACACCACAGACAATTCCACGGATGTGCACCCACCAATGCCCTTCAGTGTGGCCACTGCAGTCATCTACACTATTGTCTTCATTGTGGGTTTTCTGGGTAACACACTGGCTATATATGTGCTGGTGCGCCATGCCAAGATGAAGACAGTAACTAACATGTACATCCTAAATCTAGCCCTGGCGGATGAACTCTATATCCTGGGAATTCCCTTCCTGGGTACTAATAGTGCGCTTTCCTACTGGCCATATGGGGATTTCTTATGCAAGGTGTGCATGACTGCTGATGCCATGAGTCAGTTCACCTCCACCTTTTGTCTGACAATGATGAGCATCGATCGCTATCTTGCTGTGGTTTATCCCATTCGTAGCACCAGATGGCGGAGGCCACAGGTGGCCAAGGTTTTCACTGGCGTGGTGTGGGTCGTGTCCTTTCTGATTGTGCTGCCGGTCACAATCTATTCACATGTACAGAAGGAGTTCAACACCTGCAACATAACCTGGCCTGCTCCACGTGAATTGTGGTCCATTGTCTTCATCCTCTACACATCCATCCTGGGCTTTTTTGGTCCTCTCTTTGTCATCTCCCTCTGCTACCTGCTCATTGTCATCAAGGTAATGAGACAGATCAAATTGGCCTTTAGCTCTTATTGGTGTCTAACTCAATTTTTGAATTTTCATGTGCGTCTCTGCTCTCATAATCCTATAAAACCTTTTCAATCAACCATCTCACACAGATGAGGTCGGCAAGTGTGCGTGCAGGCCTGACTAAGCGGCGGAGGTCAGAGCGCAAAGTGACGCGCATGGTGGTGATCATCGTGTTGGTTTTTGTGCTTTGCTGGCTGCCCTTCTTCATTGCCAACATTGTCAACTTGATTCATACCATCCCTGAGAACAGTACTACTGCTGCAGTCTACTTCTTCCTGGTCATCCTCACCTACGTCAACTCCTGCGCCAACCCAGTCCTCTATGGCTTCCTCTCTGACAACTTCAAGCAGAGCTTCCAGAAGGTGCTCTGCTTCCACAAAGCAAAAGGTGTTGGCACACTACACAAGATGGGAAGTAGACAGACTACACCCAAGGTAAAGCACACGGTTATCTCACCAAGAAATCACACACAGAATAGAAAAATGTAGTATTCTTGTGATAAATAATTTCAGAAGACAAATGGGTACATGCTTCTTTACCCCACAGTTTATAGGAGGTGCATTTGGCAGCATCATTTAATCCTTTCAGGTCACCATTCAATTTCTGATGTTTTAAACAGTTTATACTGTATTTTTGATATTATTACTGAAAGTCACCTCATGTGCCATTAGCCCCCGCTGTCATAGTGCTAAATGTACAGTCTCCTTAATGTCCTCTCTTCTCCTTTGTGAAACATGATGTCCAGTGATTGAGCCCATGTTATGTAACAGACAAGGAAGAAGTGAGATGCAGGCTATAATCCTCAGCAAAAACATTTTCAGAATTTTCTTCACTGAAAGAAAGCAACATTTTATTTATTTATTTTAATTTATTTTTTAGTTATTTATGCCTACCAATGATACTCATTCTGTGGTATTGTTTCCACAGTCTCTTCAGATGGAGGTTATTGGGAACCTTGACAGCGAGCCTTTCACTACAAAGACAGTGAATAACCATGAATTGCAATGAGCTGAAACCATGTACTAGTGAACTACTACACAGAACTTAGAGGATTTACCCATGGACCTTTGATCGTTTGGAGTTTTCTAACCTTAATGCTGATCCTCCCTTTGGAACATTTATGGAAATGACCAGAGAGGTAACGTAGAAGAGAAAACTACATGCAGCATTCATCACAGTGCCTGGCATTTGTATTCATGTAGTCACACTGATACCACATGGACTGCAATGTACAAAGTGTAATGATGTAAGAAACTATTTCTCTAAATGCTCAAATAGCTCCACAGAGAACTAAGCTTTTATTGTGAAACACATGCATACTAGAGCCATTTTTGTTTCTAAATTCTTTTTTATATTTCATGATGTTTTATAAAGAATCATTGTTTTCTGATTTGCTTTTGTTTTATTTGCTGATGTTTCTATAAATGCATACCCAACAATTCCTAAAGGTTTATCTGTTGCCTTGACAAATTCACTGTAATGTACATTTCATGGCTCTCAGAGACACATGCAGAGAGTTAACTACAAGCTACAAAACACCAAATAACTGGAATTAACCAGTGGATTAGATCAATATATCTGCTAAAGTGACAGTTCAACATTTTGGGAAATATGATTAGTAACATTCTGGCTGAAAATTTGATCATCCATTAAATATAATGCTACAACCAGCAAACAGTTAGCTTAGCTTAGCATAGCTCTAAAACTCAGTAATTAACACAGTATGAAAACCACAGATTGCAGTCACATTTTCCAAGCTCTATTCATGTGTCACTGTGATGACTATTCATTTATCTCAATTTATTAAATATGCTGCACAAAGGTTTGAGTATTTCATATCAAAATCCAGCTATTTCCTTGCTGAGTAGATAGTAGTTAGCTCCTGGGTTGCTAGTACAGCTTACAACACATTTCTAAAGCTAAATGCAACAACTTCTGTTTTATTGTGACTGTTGAGCTCATCTACTGTAACTCTCTGCTAGAAAGCAAACAAGCCCCCCCCCCCCCCCCAAAAAAAAACTGAACTATGAAGAGAGCAAATGAGTGATTACATTATACTGAATTTATTATGCAAGTCATGTTAGTACAGGTAACTTCCCCCTGCTCGGTGGCTTTTTATTAGGCCCTGGGTTTATATTCACACCAGCTAAAACCCAAGGTAAATGTTTTTTTATCCATTGTTCTTTCTTAACTTTTGAATTTACAGTATTTAGTGTGGATTTCCAGAACAAAAGTGAACATCTGTGCCGAGTACAGGCTGGAAGTCCCAAAGTCAAAATGGGATGCACCCCCAAAGGTGGTTGAGAATGACCAAGCTAAGATCCTGTGGGTCTTCAAGATACAAACTAACAAATTGGTAATGGCCAACCAACTGGACATAGTAGTGGTGGACAAACAGAAGAAGAAGGCCGTAGTGATAGATGTAGCAATCCCAAGCGATAGCAACATCAGGAAGAAATACCAAGGGCTGAAAGAAGAGCTAGAAAAGATGTGGAAGGTGAAGGCACAAGTGGTCCCTGTGGTAATAGGAGCATTGGGGGCTGTGACCCCCAAACTGGGAGAGTGGCTCCAACAGATCCCAGGAACAACATCTGAGATCTCTGTCCAGAAGAGTGTAGTGCTAGGAACAGCTAAGATACTGCGCAGGACCCTCAAGCTCCCAGGCCTCTGTTAGAGGACCAGAGCTTGAAGGAAGAAATACAAGACTGCCCCAAAGTGGGGGGGCGAGTGGGGAATTTTTAAAATATATACATATATATATACTGTTTTCAAAATGGTTTTTGTGACAGTTTGACTTCATTGTTACAAAGCTGTGAAAAATGCCTTTAAATAACATAAGCAAATATTGTCTGCTAGTGAATTTCTCTCCTCTCTCACATAGCAAAAACAACATCTGTTTAAGGAGATGACACGGTAGATTAAAACAGCCTGGCATTTTCCAACCTCAGTAACATCGTATGCTGACTCACCATTCCCTGTAGCCGCTAAACTTTGACATTTGATACTAATATTACTGGAAAGGTGCTGGACAAAACTGTAGCGTCTCCAGCTTTGTAACTTGAGCCGAGCAATGATAATGTGATAATGTTTATGGTGAGACTGAGCTCATTTGAAAAACCACCCAGTATGATGGACCTGTGGAAACAGGAGACGAGAGGTTTATTTTTGTTAGAAACTGATTTTTTTTCTATTTCAAACTTTTTGGACATTTTCACCTTTTCGATATACAGTATATACTATATATGAAAATAGGTCGCTAAGAGCCAGACAGAGAACTGGGGAGACAGATGGGGAGAATTGCGACACAGATCAGTGGTTGGACTCAATCCGGCGATGCTGCGCACACATTGTGCACCATGACGTAACCATTTGGCTATAAGGGCGCCCAGAAACACTGTGAATTTTGAAATAATATTTTTAATATGGAGTCTTGAGTTCTGTGATATAGTTACATCTATAACAAAAATGATAGCATAGCTATGTTAAAACATGAATATTAATAAAGTATCAAGTCTGTTGTGCATGGTCCCTCTGAATTAATCCAACACACTGCAGTGTAGGGCTGCTGTCGTGTGCCTACATGAAACAAAGCTGTTTTATGTGTATATCTATCCCACAAAGAGTTGTTGTTCATTGTTGCTGTGATTGATCAATATTATGGCAGCGTTATGTTTCAGACTGAAGCACTTTATCATGATTTCCAGTCAAAACAGAAACGTAGTAGGTTCATGCTTCAATATTAATGTCTCAACATAAACCAATTTCAGTTTTTCTGATTTTTGTAAATGAAATTTAAGTAGTTTCATTTACAAAAATGATAAACTGCTCATATCTTTCGACCAAGGTAGGTAATTGGATCAGATTTTGTTGTAATATGTGTTACGACTGTAGAACAAAGAAATAAAACATCTGATCTAATGTCAGCAAAGTTAAGCAGTTGAAAGTCTCCCTGTGAGCTGGCGTTTTATCGGTTGTTCATGGTAATGGGGTTTTGTTTGTCTTTCCCCAGATTATAGATCTAGCAATGCTTTCAATGTTATTTTAATAAATGTAGCCATATCAATACACGGTTTAAAGGATAGATTTGTTCTTTTTTTTTGTCTATATTAATAAAATGTCATATGCATGGTGAAAGATTTGGTGAATAGTTGTGAAGGGATTTTTTTCGATAATGAATAAATGGGGACAAAATTGAAATTCCTGTTTCTGTGCAAAAATACAAGTTTAACCAAAACTAATTTGAGGCTTCACCAGTCCCAGTGAGACAAAGACATTTAGTTCACGAGCAGAGCCCTTATTACTGCTCTGAGGACAGAGGAGTCTGCCTGGAGGAGCTATAACCAAGGATACACGAGTGCATCCTTCCTCACTTATAGCTCCTCTAGCAGCCTTCTTGCTCCTTCATCCTCGGTCCTGAGATCAGAAATAAGATCCATCATCATGGTGTACCGGAACAACTTCTGGGTTGAGTAAGGATTGAGGACCACGGAATGATAAAATAAGGGAATTGGTATTCGCCTTGATTTTGTTGTAAGGACACATTAATGGCAATAAACCTACACCAAGACAAAGTTACCACACTTGATTTGGCCAAAGCAGGCTGCTGAAACTTCATATTAATGTTCTACGTTTACATCACAAGCCCTCTGAGTTCCAACCCTTTTGTCAGGTCTGTCTGTGCTGATGGGTCATGTTTGTAAGTGACGTGTCAGGCTCCATTGTGAACACGGCAGAGGTCCTAAACTGCCACACATACGCAGATATAATTGAAATATTTGCTGCTTGCGTACAAGAATAACGCCATTTCTGTGATGGTCAAATTGTGCAGTTCACTCAAAAACAGCTTGGTTACAATATGGTCCTTCCAGTTTGAAGCTTCTCCATAAATGTCCAATGAGTCTGAGGTTTTTTCATCTCTCCACTGACCTCCAGTGCCACTGCTGCTCTCCTCCATGTTTATTTTTACCATTCTGTGAGGGCCTAACACTGACTGATGAAGACAGGAGATATGCACAAAGGAGCGAGACTTAAAAAAAAAAAAAGAATTCCAATCTGATTATTCTGACAGCAGTCACATGGTCAGAGATCTGATATGAAACGGCTCTAGAACCACACATGGAAGTGGCCCAGAATGGGTTTGAAAAAAAATCTGATTTGGTTTTTTTATATATGTCACTTAAGCAGGTAGTGTTAATGCAGCTTAAGGCTGAATTAACGTGCTGAATGCATTTTTATACAGAACAAGGCCAGTAGAATTTGTTTTTATATAAAATGAAATGAGACTGGGAAAGGATCACTTCACATGTATGGAAGGAGGAAGGATCAATAACTCTTTTATTGTACATATGGAGTATTTAAAAAAATCATTATCCTTTTATCTGTCCATAATTGGCCCTGCACTTGCACATCCCTCATCAACACCACTGTGGTGCCCTTGAGCAAGGTCTCTAACCCCCTCTGTTCCCATGGAGCTGCTCAGTGGCCTGCAGG